CCCCTAAGCCTATCTTTCCACCTAAGATTAACCATCACTGGAATCGAGGAGTCTTTACTGGTACTCTTCTTCATCTTCCTTTGCTACAAGTGCCCCAGAGCTTTTTGCTCCCAAGGGATTAGAATGCAACTCTTCATTGACGGTAGCCTGTGATTCAGAAGGGGTGGGGCCCCGAACCGCGGCACTTACCTCCCTGCTGTGACTTCAGCTTCACACTTTTCCAAAAAAAACTTTTCATACAAGTGCACACTAAAAGAGTATTTCCTAGCTGGCTGAATGAACAAAACGCAGCACTGCCACATTTAAAAACGCGCTCCGCGATCAGGTATAGAAGCTGAAAATATGGCGTTGGGAGGGTAGTGTGGTCCGCGACGAACAACCTTGTACCGGTTTCGCGGCAAAAAATTGTAAGGGAGGGACGCATATAGCTTCAGTGACGCCTCCTTTTCCCCAGTGACTCCGCCTCCAGACTCCGCCTTCAAGGCCCGCCTTTCAGTGAAAAACGAAGCTGCAGGACGAAAAAGCATGAAAATCGTCACTTGTACGGTCGTAGAGTTCTTATCGGGGAATCAGCTGTGCGGATGAGGCGTAGTGCTTTAGATGAGTTACACGTTGTCAACACGTTGTCGTCTATATGCAAACTCCTAATCCGCTATCAGTGATGGCAAATGATTGCGGGTTTTGTCGACTTGGTCGTGGAATGATTCACCGCTTGAGGAGCGTGGACAGTCTCCTGGTCAGGTCATCCACGGCAGAGATGCAGTGGTTCAAGAATTCAGTTAAGCAAAGTGATACTAAAGAATGAGAACAACTTGATTGTGCAGGTTCATAGTCCTCAGGGTGAGAAATACCGCTTGTGGGTTGAGCTGGTCTATCAGGAGACTTGCACGACTCCCAACTGCAAGCATCTTTGCCTCTTTCTTTCACCAGTTGCATGCTTCCGGGTGTTGAAGACTATTCACAGTGGCAACCGTTTGGGCGACTTTTGCTCCCCCTTTCAAGAAGTCAGCATTGATGCAAGTTGGGTTCACTCTAGTGATGGGACGCTTTGTGAAATTTGAAAGTTTGTGAGTACATTCACTTACGAACAAGGTGAACAGCCGAAGTTGCCGTTGCCACTGGCTAGGAATGCTTCCGAGGTGAAAAATTGCAGCGCATAAGTGAAGACAATTAGTCGTTTTAACATTTTATGAAGGAATCTAGTTTACGAAAAATCGTATGGCAGAAAAGTACAGCAGATGGCGACCGACAGATGAACAGTGAAAAAAATGGGGCTGATAAACGCCTTCATTTGTAGGAAGTGCTTTGACCTCAAGTACAAATTTCTTCGAAGGACAATTGGACATCACTGCAAAATGCTGAGTAGTAATCCGGTTTTTTGTCGCTATTTAAGTTTTCGGTGACAGCGTTGACACCGGAAAGCCACCTATGAACTCTCCATGGTCATTTCACTACTCAGTATTCCGCACCCAGAAGAAAGTGATCCGCATTTATGTCGAGTGGAAACAGAATACATGGCGCAATCCAGAGAGGATCAACAAACGCGGATCCACTTGGTCCTTTCAGTACTTCGAAGACAATTCGCGTATTACAAGTAGTGAGTGTTCATCTACGAACCAGTAGCCGATAAGTGACTCCCCAGTGAAGAAAGGCAGCAAACAGCCTGAGAACACCCTGAACAAAACCCCTTCCTGACATTGTACGAGTTTTCCAGACTAGCTGGCAACCCGATACCCTATGGTATCTGTGCAACCCCTAGCTAACAAATCGTTTCCTCATCATCTTTCACATCTTTCAGTACTAAATCTTATCTAGTATTAGAAAAGAAGAAAAACAAAAACGCCGGAATAGAAAAGCGCTTTTAGAAAGTCTGTGCATGAAATTGGGAGTATGGTGAACGACGAGCTTTTGCACCAACGCAGTTGCATCGCTACCGCCCGAATGTATGCCTTGCGAAGTGGGCTACTGACGTGAAGTTTGCAAAATGTATCCAGGTGGAGTAGAGTAATCAGTGACCCTGCAAAGAAAGGCACACTACTGTTCGCATTCAGTGATAAGCGCATGAGATCCTATATCCTATCGATCCTATACGATTGTACACAGTACGCGCTGTAACTAGTGGTGTAAGTTGTTGTCTCGTAGCGTGAAAACGTTAATGTCGTAAAGATTACGCGTTCGTTGCCCCTTTATTTCGCCCTTTTGAGTAACGGAAGTATCACACTCTATGCGAGTGCGGACCTGGATGCCAAAAGCACGGATGCATTTCGCGGGCCACTTGATCGCAGGAACGGTCCCCCATCTAAGGATGAACAATTTGGAAAGCTTTGAAAGATGAACTTTCATGAGAGCTCGCGGACAAAACCGACTGATGTTTCATAGCACAGAGGATTGGAACCCTTCCGCTTCACCAAGGAGCCCTTCCGCTTTTGGTCTGGACGAAAATTCCCATGTTACTCGAAGCGGTTTCAGTGACACCAGTCGGTTTACCATGTGCCTGATTTTGACGCTATTTCATCCGTTTCTCGTTGTAGAATCGCTTCGATAGTGCATGCTGATGCTGAGAATCACTGCGCCGAAATTACATTGGATATGGGTACGGTATTGTTCGCAGTAGACGATGAGGCGTGACAGGAGTTATGGGTCTGAAGCGCAGCCAGCCCCTTCGCCGCCTGTTTTTGGAGCGGATAAGCGTCGACTGGTGGAAACGACTGATACGAACGATGTGATGCAGTTTTGTCACTTGCCGGAAGAAATGAAGAAAAAAAAACGGGCTGGCTGCGGCAAACCCGTCTCCTCCTTGGCCAGCCCCATCATCCGCAGCGAACAAGGCTGTATTTCCTCTAAGAAACATCAATCAGGCTGGAGAGATGGCGAAGAGTGCAAAAAAACCTAGGTAAAAAATGAAAAAAATGGTTCAGTTTAGGGTGGCGCGTGCTCGGGACCCAGGCGGAAACGTGTCCAGTGTGAAATGTATTTCAGCTTCTGCCACAAACTTTTGATGCTCACCAATTTTATTTGATGCGAGACAAAGAATAAAGCCAATAGAATTATATTTATTCTCCGATATAGACAGACAGTGTTGATTTTTGGCTCCATTCTAGTTACCAGCATATCCTCCTTGTCCAGCTCCACCGGCAGCTGCAAAGATGTACATGAAATTATGACTCGCGATCATTTGAAAAGTGCTGAGCGAACGCTCTTAAACCTACATCCTGCTCCTTCGGCGTATCCTGCTCCAGCTCCTCCGCCTCCAACAGGTCCTCCTCCGGCTCCGGGTCCAGCATATCCGGCGCCACCAGCTCCTCCTCCAGCTCCGGGTCCAGCATATCCGGCACCACCAGCTCCTCCTCCACTCCGGGTCCAGCATATCCGGCGCCACCAGCTCCTCCTCCGGCTCCGGGTCCAGCATATCCGGCACCACCAGCTCCTCCTCCAACTCCGGGTCCAGCATATCCGGCTCCACCAGCTCCTCCTCCGAGACCGCCGAGTCCAGCTCCACCAATTCCTCCTCCGAGTCCGGGTGCAGGCATATCCGGCTCCACCAGCTCCTCCTCCGAGGCCTCCGAGTCCAGGTCCACCAAATCCTCCTCCAAGTCCAGGAGCGGCATATCCGGCTCCACCAGCTCCTCCTCCGAGGCCTCCAAGTCCAGGTCCACCATATCCGGCTCCACCACCTGGACCGAAACCTCCGCCGAGTCCTCCGGCGGATGCATAGCTGCCACCAGCTCCTCCAGCTGAAAATAGAAAACGTTTCGACCCTGCACGAAATTCAGAGCGCATTCTCCGTAGAAAAGTAATTACTCACCTCCTCCGTATCCTCCAGCTCCGGGTCCGCCGAATCCTCCAGCTCCGGGTCCGCCGTATCCTCCGGCACCTCCGAAACCGCCAACTGGTCCACCGATCGCGGGAGCCTGAACGTAACCGCCGCCAACTGGACCTCCTCCGCATGCAGGAGCGGGAGCTGGCCCGCATGGAACGGGAGGAGGTGGCGGTGGGGCACAGCTACATGCTGGAGGTGGTGGAGGAGCACTGAACAATACAATGTTTACATTTTGAGACGAATCGATACAAAGAAATAAGTAGAACTCACCATCCACAGCCACCACCACCACCGCCTGAACCGAAGAGGAAGGCCTCAGAAACGGCTAAGACTGCACAAGCGACTGATACGAACTTCAGCATCCTGAGCGGAAAAGCGGAGTATCAATATAAAAAAGGAATAAGGCAGTGTAGCTAAGAAGAAAATGAACGTTCGGGAAAGTGTGAACTATACAATAAAACAGCTATACTGTTGGTATTTGTTCGAATAACTCCAAAATTTCTGACTCTTGTAATATGATAGTAGTTGTCGGGGTAAAATCCTAAGTTACAGGTAATTAAACACTGAGGAAGGAGCTGCTTCAGTGTAAGCATGTGTGTTGCAATTGGACGAAAGTGCGGCTTTAATAGGAGATCTCCATGGGCACGTAACAGGTTCGCCATAAGGAAATAGCGGGCCGCATACGAGATTTTGGTACGAAAGCGGGCCTGAGACAGGAGATTTTGACGGCGGTCGAAGGGACATTTGGCGAAACCTGAAAGGCGATTTAGCACCGATCGTGTCGTTGCTTAGCCCTTCCTCTGCGCTGTCTTCGACATATCTTAGCGAAAAAAATAAAAACACCTACGACTCCACCTTATTGGCTTCAAGGGATTATTAAAGAAAAACGAAAAATAATCAAAAATTTCAAAAAAATGCTCCAGAACGCGATGGCGTTTGCGCTCAAGAAGACAGTACTTATAATTTAGTGTTTCTAGAGCCTAAAGGCAAATTTTCACAGAGGAACATTCAAGAGATTATTCGAAGATCTTGTGTGTACCCAAGGCGGTTTTTGGCGAATGTCGACAGTATAGCAGTTGTATCAGGACCATTTAAATAATCCATAAAATAAAATCCAGTGGAGGAAATTCGCTCTTCGGCTTAGGGGAAGGCTTTTGTACTTTCACTTGCTCGTTTAGCTAGTTCATGATAATTAACGATTCTCACTTTGGGGACATTTGCAAGCTCTTGCGATCTTGCGCAATTATATGAGTGAGTCGCCTGGATCAATTTACAGTCCTTTACAAAGTGACCCACCCGCAAAAGCTTCTTCTGCTACCATTTG